TTCTCATTACATCTCTTATCACTATACTGCCAAGTATTGAAGGCTCAGTGTGCAAACTTTTCCTTTAGCCATCACTTCTCTGATAGCACTAGAAAATGAACTCTCCCACTATCCTACTATATAATGGGGGGGGGCAGGATCCGCAGTGTTGGCTCTATCTGTTACGATTCGATCACTACAGCACCGTATGAGCAGCACAGTGATTGAAAAAGTTCCGTTTCCGTTCTGGCGAAGCCAGGCCAGCTCGGCGAAGCCGGGCCCAAGAGAAGGAGGAGAGCTTGGCGTCAGCCGGGCGATCCGACTGGTTGCTGTCCGAGTGACAATATTGCCCACTTAATTCTAAAATTGTTGTCATTGTGCCCCTTACTGATAGTTCTTTGCTTGCGGTGGCACCCTGGCGTACGCACTTTTCATGTTGTGTAGGATTTCCTGCCTTTGAAAATTCTGCATCGAAACTGTTGAAGCAGATGGGGCACTTGAGGTTCTGTTCATACCCCAAATCCCAAAAGCGTTTATGCCCCCATGTTAGACCCGGAATGCTGCTCCTCCTGAAAACCTTGAGGCAGGACTTTGACAGTTCTTTGCGCGAACGAAAATTCTGAAAAATGTACAAGAGAGACGCTGAAGAATGTGCTGAGATTTTTCCTGTAGGATCATACGCCAGTCGCCGCCAATCGCAAGAGAATCAAGAAGGATGAAAAAGAAATGGATCACGGTGACGGTATCTCTTCCCCAGAGAGCAAGGTATTTTTCATGATGATACTTTATTTCTTGCTAAAGGCATGCCCCACGTTCATTTGATGTTCGGACGCCTTCATAAAACACGGTAGTCCTGTCTGCAGGCACGGAGGATGTACTACTTTCGCAGCTCAAAATCACATAAGGAATGCGCGATCCGCTCGCGAAGAAGCCACCGCCCCGCTCCCTTGGCACGGCAACGCCCAACTTTAATTCTAACTGTTACCTGATGGCTGGAGACGGAGGTGGTTTAGTGACGTCGCGCTAATGGCGCGCTTACGCGGAACTGGCTTCAAATCCCGGATCGACTCCCGCTCAGGCCAAGGAAGCCCTCTTTCCTCTGGGGACGGTAAATTGGTACCAGATTCGTCTGGGAGGATACTGACTTGTACATCGGCTGGCCCCCGCAAGTCATTGTATAGGCCACATCGCATTCAATAAGCCACTACGATTCTGAATGGAAGTAGAATGCGTGCCGCAGAATAATTGACGGCGAAGACTTTGTCCGTTATTTACCTGATGCGCGTTTGTTCCGCTTAATCGTCATTTTGAATGAGTGTGAGGTGATATGGAGAAAGAGCTGGCACCAACAAGTGACAACTCGTCTGACCACGCCCTTTCTTCGCCTTATATCTACACGCGCGGTTCAGCATGACGTTCTATATGGGGCTGCGTGTGCTTTTTTTTCTTCACATTTGGGTTATATATGTTTGTCATTAGTATTTGAGCCGCACAAATCACCTATATTGAACGTGGAGCGTGCCCTTTGAGAAAGTGAGTTTGCATGACTAAAGGCGCGGACGCGACGTAGTTTGTTAGGGTTGCCCGCACCCGAGTGGTCTCTAAAATGTACATCAGTGCTGAAGTTTATGAAGTATAAGGAACTGTTCCGCTTGCAGAAAAGTCCCATTTTGACTCGGAATCGGGTTGATCGGAAACCTCCCGAAAGATGACGCAAGAAAATGTTGGTAGTTCGGCCGAGAAACGGCGAACGGAACAGAAAGCGCTCTCATCACCTGAACGTCGGCCAACACCATGTACTCGCGTTTGTTTGACCGACGAACAATGAATCGTCTTATTACAGTTCTAAAGATGGTCCAGCGTCCACTGGTGTCCAGGAGCGAGGAGTATGGAGAATTGGGAGGGAGCAGATAGTTAGATTAGGGGTCGTGAATCAGCGGCGCTCCGTGCAACTGCTAAGCATTAAATATATTTAATGTACAGTATTGTGTAGTAGTACCGTGCGGCTGCACACGCCACAATTTCACAACGCCTAATCCAGCTTCCTGCTCCCTCCTACTTCCCCATACTCCACCTGCAGTCAGCTGTCCTCCGTTTGGACGCTGGTGCAGGGTGCACAATGAGTTGAGGACTTCGTCCGTATCACGCACCCCCTCCCCTCCTATAATTCCTTCTAACTGGTAAGAGCGGGAGTAGTGAGGGGGGGGGGGGTAATAAAGCCACATCTAAAACGGTAAAAAGGCGAATGGTCAACAGCGCGGGAAGCAAGTTCTGTCCGCAACAAGTCTTCTCAGACGTAATGGCGACCCTGCTCTCCCAACAAAGAGCAAATATGACTCCCGCCACCCCATCTTATAGCGTCCGTAAGCAAAAAAATGAACTATTAAAAAAATCTTTTCAGACGAAGTACGACCCTCGCCCTCCCCTCCTCCCCCCTGCGACCAAATACAACTCCCCCTGTTGAGGAATCTCCAATGATGATGTGCCTTGCGCTGGTGGTCGCTGGTGGACGCTGCCGCAGTGTGAACGCAGTCTTGACGAATTAATATGTAGTAGGATGTTATTGTGTGTTCGTTTCAGACGAGCTTCCTCAAAGAAGTCCCTCTAAAAGAGGAAAGGGACAAACCGATATGCCTCTCAAAAAATCGAATTCTAAAAACGTGAGTCATTAAGGTTTGAGAATAAATCGAGTTAATTTTGGTTTCAGTGTCTCAAAAGCTTAATGAATATACTGGAGCTGTTACTAGTTTTCGTATACAGAATTTCTGAGTTTTCTGTTAAACGCCATTTCAGGTTGAGCGCAAGGACGATGAAGCTTCACCCTCAACATCTAAAGAACCTCTGTCACCACGAAGTTTGCGCAGCAATTCCTTGCAAAAACAGCAATCTTCAAACACTAAGCAACCAGTGCCAGTAAAGGTAATCTTGCTTGACACTGACTGTTTTTCGTTATCATTTATTTACTCATTTTTTTCTTGATGAATAAGAAATATTGTTGCAGAAGTCTCCCAGAAAGCAACTCACGGACGGGGATGATATGGGAACACCCACGCAAAACGGAAAGGTATAGAAGAAGTCCTCGGCGTACTTCGGCGGGGCATTTTGCACTTTCATTGCTTCACTACTTCCGATTTGCCTGTCTCACTCTGGATAAAACCCGACTCCTGTGAAGCTGGAGCAAGCTCGTCGAGCCATCATGGTAAAACCTGTCAACTCAAGAAAGGCTGTCTAGATGGGTCGACACGTCGATGGGAAGTAGCAAAGTGCAAAATGCCCCCCCCCCCCCCCCCCCCC